TGGGGGAAGGCTTAGGAACCCGAGGGAAAGGAGGAAGGGGACAAGCGTAGCAAGCCTCAGAGAAGGCCAAGACGAGTGCTCCTGGGGGCCGCCTCACTCGTGACGTTGGGTAACTGTAGGAGTGTCTGTGTCCCTCACCAGTGATGCAGTCCAACCGCCTCGTTTTACAGGGGGGTAAACTGAGGCTCTAGCATCATAGCTCTAGAGCTGGAAGGGACCCCAGACCATGTAGACTCCCTCATTTTGCTGGTGAGTAAATGGAGGCCCCCCAAGGAAGTCAAGTGACTCATCCAAGATCACCCAGATAATGTCCGAGGATTTGAACCCAGACCCAGATCCAGGTCCAGTGCCTTTTCCCCTGTACCGCGCTGCCTCCGCACACTTTCCAGGGTAGGTATTGGCAGCCTTCTTGATGCTATCTTATAAGCCAGAAATGGACACCGGAAAAAGTGAGGCCACTGTCATCCTGGACAGAGCGCTAGCCCTGGAGTGACGAGACAGCCGGGTTCAGATCCCACCACTGACATTTACCAGCCGCGTCAAATCACTTCCCTTCTCTGAGACCCAGTTTTCCTTCTGTAAAATGGGGATGATCAAACCCACAGTAGCTACCACATGGAGAAGTTTTAGGTCCACAGGGTCAGGGGTCCAGAGCCGGAAGAGACGTTGGAAGGGATGTCGAGTCCGACCCCATCCATTTGCAAATGAGGAAGCCGAGGCTCACAAAGGTAAAGGAAGGAAACAAGCATGTATTAAGTACCGACTGTGTGCCCTCTACAAATAGTATCTCATTTGATCCTCACAATAACCCTGGGAGGTCGGTGCTGTTATTATTCCCATTTTAGAGACGAGAAAACTGAGGCTGAGGCAGGATGTGTGAAGTGACTTAGCATCATCACTCTAAGGCAGAATCAACCCCAGAGGCCACCTAGTGCACTCCCTTCATTTTACAGAAAAGGAAACTGAGGCTGAGAGAGGATAAACCACAAAGCATCAGAGTCCTAGATCCCTAGGCCGAAGGGGCCTCCAAGGCTTCTAGTCCAGACTCGTTAAATGACTGCCCAAGGTCACCCGGGGGATTCTCATCCGAGGCAGAATTTGAACCCAGATTCTCCTATGCTTCCTCCTCTACTGAGATGTGCAAACTTTCAAGCCCTAGATATCTGCCCTTCATATCACTATCGGGGGTTAGCACAGTGCCTGGCACACAGTAGGCATTTAATAAGTGCTGAGTCAAGACCAGAGCCCTTATTTCCTGCCTCCTGTTCCACTCTCCTTTCTGGGAGCCTGGCATCATGGCCGCCTCCAAAGTCTATAGACTGTCCTCAAGCCCAGGGAGTCAGGGGGCTGCCGGAGGTGGGGAAATGCCTTCCAAATTAACCTCTGGTTCCATTTAATTTAGGAAACATTTATTAATTGTCTGCCCAAAGAGCACTGTGGGGGCAGTTAGGGTACAGAAGTGGCACCGTGCCTGCCCTGTTGAGCTTACAGTTTAAGAGGAGTGGCCGAGATGCACACACAGACAGGACAATGCAGGACAATGGTTAATCAATAGAACCGGGCAAGCTGCTGTGAGAAGTTTCTGGAGAACAAGGTCACTTCTAGCTGGGAAACAAGAAGTCAGCAGGTTGGATCTAGCCGGAGGGTCCCCTAGAGACACTCTAGTCCAGCCACTTCATTCTGTAATTGAGAGAACCTTCAAGGCCCAGAAAGACTTGCCTAACACTGCTAAGTGGCAGAACCAGGCCTCAGACCCAGGATTCCCGACTCTTGGCTCAGTCTTCTTTCCAGGATATTATATGAAGAAAAAGAAATAAGAAATCAAAGATGGTGATGGATTGCTGAGGCCCAAGAACAATGAAAAATGATCTACGGGTAACAGTGGACCACAAGCTCAGGGCAGAATTGGTGATGCCAACAGCTCACATTTCTAGGGTGCTTTAAGGTTTACAAAATGCTTTCCTCACAACAATCTAATGAAACAGGCAGTTCAGGTTATTATTATCCCCATTGGACAGATGAGGAAAATGAGGCTCGCAGTGACTAAGAGACTTTCCTAATGTCACTTAGATAGGAGGTAGCAGCAGAGAGGGGGCTTGGACCCGTGTTTTCTGACTCAAGGCTAATTTTCAAAAAAGGGAAGACTCCCAGTCCCTGAGTTTGACTTGATTCCTGGAAGAAAAAAATCTTGGATGTAATAGTGAAAGGATGGCTTAGGAAGATCTGGAAAAGGAAGCAGCGATCACAAAGTCAGCCTGGCTTCATTAAGATTGAGTTGTGCCAGACTGAACTCATTTCCTTTTTTGGACAGGGTTGTCAGAGAAATACAGCAAATAAAGTTTGTCCAATTTTTAGCAGAGTATCTGACAAAGTATCTTATGCTAATTCTTGAGGAAAATCTGGAAAGGTGCAGGAGAGCTGATAGTACAATTAGATAGACTCAGAAGTGGCTGAGTGGCCAGAGCCAAAGGGAGTCATTAATGGCTCCCTGTCACTTTGGAAGGAAGCCCTCGTGGAGTGTGCCAGACATCTGTGCTTTGGCCCTGTGCCATTTATGTTTGCTCCATGTCTTGGATAAAGACATTGAAATCATGCTGATCAAATTTGTAGACAGCTCAAAGCTAGGAAAGATGCTATCATGTTGGGCAACTGTGTCAGGATCCAAAAAGACTTTGTCAGGATAGAATTCCAGGTCCACTCTATTAACTTGAAATTGAATAGGGATAAGGGAAAAAAGTCTTGCATTTGAGTTTAAAAAAAAAAACACTTCACAAATAAAAGATGTGAGAGGCATGGCTAGATAGCATAGAAAGATCTGGGGGGGGGGTAAAAAAAATTGATCTCTGGGTTTTAGCCAGCCATAAGTTCAATATACATTAACAATATGATATGGAAGCTGAGGGGGGGAATCTAATACAATCTTAGATAACATTAAAAGAGTTGTAGCATCAAGGACTAGAGAGAGGACATGAACACCATTCCTCTTCCCTAGTCAGACACTATTTGGAGCATTGTGTTTGGCTCAGGGCACCACTGGTATCCTAAAGAGGGCCTATTAGAGGGTATCCAGAGGAGCAACCATAATATTGAGAGGTCTCAAGTTAAAGCTATAGAAGGATCAGCCAAAGGAAATGGCAATATTTATTTAGCCTGGAGAAGATTTAGAGAGGCCATCAAGCATTTGAAGTGTTATCCTGTAGAGAAAAAAAAAAGATTATCTTTCTTCTGCTTGGCCCCAGAGGAAGAACCAGGAGCAATAAATGGGAGGAAGCTGCCAAGAGATGGATTTGGGGTGGGTGTTGGGCAAAGCTTGACAATGAGAGTTGCCCCCAAAGTGACTGTGCTGCCTGGAAAGGCGGTGGGTGCCTCTTTCGGGAGGGCTGTCAGCAGAGGTTGGATGGCTGCTCATGGGCATAGGTCAGGCCAGGTGGCCACAGAGGTCCCCTCTAGCTGGTAGCTTTGGGGATTGTGTGACCCCTGGAGCGCTCCCGACTCCAGGCTTCTATTATGACAAAGTCAGCTTTCTTCCTGCGTCCAGCTCCATCATTTTACAGTGGAGGAAACAGAGGCCCAGAAAACACAAATGATTCACCCAAGGCCTCACACCCTTGTTGACAAAGGATGTATTTTAAATAAAAAAAAAAGAGCAAGAGAAGTCCAGAGGGAAACACAGATATTGCCGCCCTCCCCCCCCACCCCAGTGCCCAGCAGATTGTTAAGACTTCAATAAAATGCTTGTTGAATGAATGAGTGAATGAATGAATGAATGAATGATAATGAGATAGGAGCCATGAGAAGAAAGATTAAAGAATAAGAAAATAAGGCTATAGGATTGTACCAGTAAAGAAAATCTCATAATGAAGAGACATTTCCCCTAAGGAGAACAGTGAAAACAAGTGAGACAAAGACTGGACAGAAGGACCCATTTTCTGCCCATAGTGCAGCGGAGCTGGTTTTACTAAGAGTCCGGGAGGTTATGGCCCAGAGAGGCCTTCCTCCTCCAGTCTGTACTCCTGGCTCTGACCTCTCCATAAAGATCTCCCAGATGGGACATGGGGGGGGAGGGGTGCCCTGGGAGGCCAGGATGGACAGCTGAGTCCTTCCCCCCCGCACCTTGGGGGTCTCCTCACACTCTGGGTGACTCCCTCTTTGAACCTTTGGGTCAAGTTTCCCTAACAAGGTTGATTCTCCTGGTCACCCTGCAGACTCACACCATCTTCTCCCTGCTGGGAGTGGACCATGCGTACGTCACCAGCATCGGCCGGCTCGTCGGCATCGTCACGCTGAAGGAGGTGAGGGGAGGCATTTCTGAAGGGAGGCCGAGGCTGCTCTCCTGTCCCCCTTGCCCCCTTCCCTGCTGGCACCCAGTCAGTCTCAGCTGATGGGGTGTCGAGGGGAGAGCCTTGAGAAGGACTAGCTGTTTCCCCCTCCCCCTGCCCACACCGGCCCTCTGTCCCCTCCCCAGCTTCGGAAAGCCATCGAGGGATCTGTCACGGCCCAAGGCGTGAAGGTGAGGCCGCCGCTGGCCAGCTTCCGAGACAGCGGAACCAGCAGCAGCGACACAGAAACCACCGAAGTGCACTCCCTATGGGGCCGGCGCCCCCGCCATAGCCCGCCCCACGAAGGCAGCCCCTCAGACAGCGACGACAAGTGTCAGTGAGCGTGGCGGGAGCCCCCGCATCACCACGGACACCGGCCTGCCCCACACAGCCCTCACTCTGGAGCCAGACTCTCTTCCGGGAGACTCGTGGGAGCAAGCAGGCACCAGCCCTGGAGGCCTCCCAGGGAGGTGCCTGCCCCTTCCCTCCAGACTGGAGTGCCAGCTGCACCCAGGGTGTCTCCCAACTGGCGTCTGGGTTGTGAGCAGGCAGCTTCTGGATTTTCCAGGGCAGAGGAGGGACCTGGGCTGCCCAGCTGCTGCTCCTCTCCTGTAGAGCAGGACTGGAATGGGGGACATCCTGGAATCTCCAGGGACCAGATGTACATAGAGATTTACAAAGATTTTTATATTAATTTAATAAAACAGAGTCTTAAATAGAACAAAATAAACCCCTAATAGAACCACTCAAGCCTGGAATGTCTGTTCCCATGCCCTTACCCTGGCCACACTCTCAGTGCCATGCCTCCAGGGCCTGGTCTGCCGACATCCTCAGGGCTCTGTCCTTGGACACCTACCAGTGATGCCCTGACCCAGGCTCCAGGTGGGAGCCCAAGCTCAAGTCTACCTTTCCAGGTACCGCTGAAAGATGATCACCCTTCCCCAAGGATACACCCTCTCAACTGGCTGAGCCCCACCAGCCACTCGTGACCCAACTCTAGCCCTCAGAGACAGGATTTCACTCCTTCCAACCCCTGCCCTCCTGGGACCCTCGGTGAAGTTTCCTGGTCTGGGATTTTGTCCTGCGCGTCCCACACACACCTCTCCCCCAGTTCCATGTGTTGGAACTACTCAGTTATGGAAGATGGGAGGGAGAGTAGGGAGAGGAGGTACAAGGGGTCTGCTCCCCCAGTCAGTCCCCATCCCCAGGGTGCATCCAATACAGGGGAAAGAGGAAATGAGAAGAAGGTGGACAGGAGAACAGGAGCCAGGGCCTAACCAGGGTATAAAACTGGATGGAGGTAGGGAAGGCAGTGGGGGGAGGGGGCAGAGTTAAAGAAAAGGAAATACAGCAGAGAGGAAATCATGAAATCCAAATTTAGAACCAGGAGGGACCAGAAAATCCATCTAGTTTAACCCTCTCATTTTACATGGGAGGACAGTGAGGCCCAGAGGTAAAATGACTTGGCCAGGGTCAGACAGGAAGTAAGCATCAAAGGCAGAATCTGCACCCAGGTTGTATGACTCCAGACTCAGGATGCTTCCCCCTGCACCATGCTGTCTCTATGCCTGAGAGGAGGAAAGGAGAGGAGAGCCAGCAGGAAAGATGGGTGGCTTGTTTTCTTCAATTCCCATGCCTCCCCTTCCAAGGTAGGGCCAAGACTGAAAGAATAGACCAGAAACCCCATTTCTTTGGGGGAAAGATTTAGCAAACATGAGAAGCACAGCCTCCAAGCACAGAGCATGGCACAACACGAACCCAGCTGGGCTGGGGGCCCTCCAGCTGCCAGAGGCCGGGAGGTAAGGAGGGGGCCAGCCCAGCTTGGGGGGCGGGGGTGATCACTCACTCAAGCACAGCATTTGGAGGGGGGTGGGAGTGACAGGTGACAAAGAAGAGAATGAGGACAGGGGGCTGGGGAGGGGCTAGGGAAGGAGAGTAGAGAGAAGAGAGCCTTCTCTTTCTCCCACAGAATAGTCCCGGTGGCGAGAAGCACCCCCCTTGGGGGGGTCACCTCTCTCAAGGGAAGGGTGGAGGTGAAGAGGAGGTACGTGTAACAACTTTTTGTTTTGTCTTGTTTAAGAACACGGACATTACTGTCTGCCACAGCTGGAGCAGTGCCTCAAGGGGTCCCGGGCAGCCCCCGGCAAACCCCCGGGAGCTGGGGCAGAACATGCGTCCCCGGCCCCGGCTCCGCCTCCTCTCCAAACACTTTCATGCAAAACAGACAATGGAGGAGCAGGAGCCGCCTGGGACCCGTCGGGGCGCTGGGGCTCCTCCCCTGCTGTGGGTGGGCCCGAGCTGGGCCAGGGCACGGAGGGCCCTGCCCCCCAGCCAAGGCCAAGGCCGAGGAAAGCGTGCCGTCAGCCGCCGCGGCGTTCACTGCTCGTCTGGCTCAGCCTCGGTCTCCTCCAGGGACACCACCCCGGAGGAGGCCACGTCAGACACTTTCCGTCGCAGCTCCCAACTGCTCCCGGGTGGGGGGCACAGTGGCTGGCAGTCCTTGCAGGCTATGGACTCATCCTCGGCAGGCGACAGGCAGGACTCCGTGTAGGACACAGAGTAGAGCGAGTCCCGGCGCTCCAGGGGGCCCAGGCTCTGGAAGGCACTTTCCCTGCTCGGGGGCAGTTTGGAGAGGAGAAGCTCTTCGGTTAGCAACTTGGCGGCCAGATGGGTAGGGGAGCCCAGCAGCCCGTCCTCCAGGCTGCAGAGGCTGGAGCACAGCGTCTCTGGAGACACGGTCTGCGAGGAATCGCTCTCCGGATCGCAGGAGCCTTGACGCAAGGGTCGTGAATAGCGCCGCCCGGTGAGGAGGTCCTGGAGATGTGGCCCCAGCTGCCCAGCTGCGTCTGGAGGGCAGGAGGACAAAGAAATCAGCCGTGCCACGGCCCTGGCTCGCGGAGTCAAGTGGCAGAAGGAAAAGGCAAGAGCAAAACCCAGAAGGACGTGGCTAAGAGCTCTGTCGGGCCCTTCTACGGGAAGGGCTCCACCAAGGCCGGTGAAGAAAGGAGCAGATCCAAGCAGATCCAGGAATGTGGTCTCTAGCCCCAGCTGAGAAACCCCGGCTGAACTGGGGCCCACCTTGACAAGGCCTGGCTGCCTGCGAGCTGAGGCTGGCGAGGGGAAGGAATGTGGGGCCGCCTGTCCAAGCTCAGTGGGGCGCTCTTCCTGTTTGCCTGCCCCCCCCCAGCCACCCCCAACTCAGCCCCGAGCTGCATATCCCAGTTTTCAGCTGGAGCCACCTGGCATGCAGCCTGCCCCGGAGGCGAGGGGAGGGGAGGGGAGGAACTTAGCCAGACCCCTCACAGAGGGAAGAGAGGCCTCTGAGTGAAGGGGACAGTCAGAGAAACTTCTGGGCTTTGGGAGAACTTGGCCAAGGGGATTTGGGGGAGCACAATTCCTGAACTGACTATTTGGAGTCATAGACCGGGGAGCTGGAGAGGACAGGGGAGGCCACTAAATCCAACCTCCTCATTTTACAGAGGAGGAAACTGAGGCACAGGAAATGTAGTGATTTGCTTCCTAGAGGGAAGAAGGCCCAGCCCCCTCAGCTCCATTTGGGTGGGAGGGAGGGGTTTGGACCTAGTTAGGAAATGCCCTCCATCCAATGAAATCAGCTGCCACCCTGCAATTTATAGTCTCAGAAAGGTGACTGAGGCAGCACGGGGGTCAGCAGCTTGCCTAGGGACGGACATGTGGCTGGCATGTGTTAGAGGCAGGATCTGAACGTGGGTCTTCCTGCCTCCGAGGGAGGCTCTCCCCCTCTACGGTGCCTCTAATGTCTCCTCCACACTCCAAGGAATCATCGAGCACTAGAGGTGAAAGGTCCTTGCCCCAGATCAGTCCAACATGTGCCCGTGGAGGGAGTCCCCTTGGAAGCCTCCCCAGAAGGAGGCCCTCCAGCCGGCTTCACCACTCCACCTCCAGTGATGTAGAACTCAGGACCTGGGTTCTAATTCTTAGCAAGCTCTTCCTGACATTCAAACTAAATCTGCCTCTCGGCCGGTCTACTTACGTTATTCTTTCCATCACAGCCATTCTCTCGGGCTTTTTTTCTCCAAGATAAATATTCTCCCCTCACACTCCTCCCCCAAGTTCCTTCGATGGAATCCCATGACCCTTCCGGGGGCTGACAGAGCCCTCCCCCAAGGAGCAGCCCCCCCATCGCAGGGAGCACAGCCCAGGAGCAGGAGGAATACCAAAGTGCCAGCTGGTCTCACCTGCTCAGTGAAGCGATCGGAGCAAAGGTCAGAGGGACAACAGGGCTAGAGCCGAAGGGACCTCGCAGGCCATCTACTCCAAGCCCCTCAGTTTATAGAGGGGGAAACTGAGGCCCAGGGAGATGATGAGAGGAGTGACTTAGGAAATGACTTCTAGAGCCGAAAGGCACCATGCAAGTCATCCATTTTACAACTGGGTAAACTGAGGCTCAGGGCGGTCATACAGGCAGTAAAGGAGAATTTGAATCCAGGCCCTCGGACTCCAAAGGCCAAAGGGAGAGAGAATTAGTATTATTATTATTTTTCACATACCTGTAGACTGAGGGCTGTCAGCTCCTGCAGCAAAGTCCTCATCATAGGATTCATCAGTGGAGTCCTCCCCATCCACAGAGGACCACGCTCGAAGCTTGGCTTCAGCAATAGCGAACTGTTCTGCCACCCCTGGGGTGGGGGGGGGACACACCACAATTCATCAGAACATCAAATTGAGAGGAGGGGGCCAGGTGGGGGTGGGGGCCAGGATGGGAAAGCACAGAGGAAGGTACCTGTCCCAAGAAGAAGGACCACCCCCCAGCCCACCCCACCCCCTCCCTGCCCCGGGATTCACCTGCGGCAAACCGAGCTTCCTGTTCCCCCTCACTGAGGTCTGAGTAGGAGGAGAAGGCAGATTCCAGGGCAGAAGGGGAGTCTCTAGGCTTGCTCCAGCCCTTCCATTCAATGAGGTGGGCAACTCGGCCCTGAGCCATGGCGGTAGGCTTTGTCACGTGGTCCTTCACCACCTGGGAAATTCCTAAGGGATGAGGAGAGGGGGCCTTGGTCAGGGAAGCATGCCCAGAAAACGCTCCCAGGGGAGTCTGAGGCACTTGTCCAGCAGAGGATTGTTACTGGAGCTGACCCCCTCATCCTACAGGTGGGGGAAACTGAGGCTCAAAGAGATCTAGAGCCAGAAAGGACCTTAGCATTCTAAACATAGGGAAAGTGAGGCTTAGAGATGTGATAGGACCATAAACTTACAGCTGAAGGGACCTCAAAGGTCAAACAGTTGTACCCCTTCCTCTTACAGATGGAGAAACTGAGGTCCAGATAAACAAAATGGTGATAGTATAGGCAGCATGGCACAATGGAATAGACCCGAGTTCCAATCCCACCTCTAAGGTTTATTACCCTTGTGACCTTGGCCAAGACCCCTCCCCTTCATGGGCCTCTGTAAAGTGAAGCAGTTGGACTCTATGTCCTCCTAGGTGACTTCCAGCCCCTGCTCTAGCGCCCTGCGTCATTCAGTAACTTGTTCAAGGTTCAAGGGGAGGAAACAGAAGAGCTGAGAATGCAACCCAGGTCCCCTGACTCCAAATCCAGCATTTTTCCCAAGGCACCAGGAGGCAGTGGGTGTGGGCACATCCACGCACATATGTCTTCCTGTTTACATGAAGGAGCCTCTGGTTCATCCAAAAAAGGGGAGGAAGGGAGGTCTCAGAAGCATTTGGGAAGAAACAGTGAAGAAAAGGAAAGATTTCTGCAGCATGTCACCAAGTACAAAGCACGCTCCTTGAAATAGCTCTGTGGTGGGCAGCACACATAACCCATCCCTAAAACACAAGTGAGGAATGACGGAGGCAGAGAATGGTCACCAAGCTCAGGTCACCAAGAGCTGCCCCTATGGGGGAGAGACAGCCGGGCACACAGTGTGGGCATGGCCACTCTTTAGGAGTCCCTAGGACCACCTGGAGGGACCTTGGGGAGCAGGCTCTTGATGAGGCAAATGCCCTCTGGGAGGCCTTTTAGCTGAGATTCTGTGACTGGTGTAGGGGGGAATTCTCGGCCTAGCTGGCTGGCCTAGACGGTCCTTTCCAGCTCTAATGCCCCACAGTGTTGAGTCTGAGCTCTGTAGGAGCTGGAATGAGGGGTGGGAGGGAGGGGATGAGGAGGGGACCATACCATGCAGGGAAGAGCGAGCCAGTGCGGCAATCTCCTGAATGGTGAGTGCTCTCCGGGACTTGGGAAGCATTTCGACAGTGTCTTCAACATTCACCTGAGGTGGGGGGAGCCAACACATTAGACAGTCAGCTTGCTCCCCCCTCTCCCAGCTGCTCTAGGGTACTCCCCAGCAGCACCCATCTTCCCATGGCTTCTGGGAAGAATCAAAGGACCAAGGTTGAAATTCAGGTTTGGCCCAACTAGGACTGGTTCTGCAAGGCATCGGTCACTGGCAGAGAAAGAAGGTCACCGAGGGAGGAAGGCTTGGGTGTCGGGGGAAACAAGGGTATCTCTGAGAAACAATAATAATAGCAACATACATTTATAAAAATGTACTTAGGAAGGTTTGCCAAGAGCTCTAGGTGCATTCTCTCCGAGGGGACAGAACTGGAGCAGAGTTCAACAGGGAATGTCCCTGAGCTCTCACACCCAGCCCCACCTAGGCTGTTTGCTCCTGGCCCCCATCCCCAAGGCTTACTTAGCACCTGGACAGCACCAGTGGCCTCCATGACGACCCAGAGTCCTAAGGCCCAATGCAGGACCTTAGGGTGAGGGGGGCGGGTAAGGAATTCGACGATCCTTCCCATCCTCTAGGCCTGACACTAACCCCATTCATGTTCCCTCCCAGGGCTCCCAATTGCCGCCTGCCTGAGACAAGGTGTACGTCTCCATGGCAACAGATCACCATGGAACAGTCTCCCCGGATACCATCAGGGATGCACTGACGTCAGCCCTGGTGGGGCTGGCATGCTAGGAGCGGGGGCGTGGGGTCTGGGATAAGACATTTGCCAAGAAAGGTACCCCTGTATTTGTGAGGAGGGGGGGAGAATTAAATGATGGGGGGAGGGGAAGAGGGAAGAAAGGAAAGGAAAAGAAAGGAGGAGGTTTGAATTTACAGGACTGCAGGATCCTCACTCACCATGAAGAAATGGTTCCTCTACCCCTGATTCCATCTCCTGTTTCCCCCCCACTCCCCCCCACCCCCAAACAGAAGGAACATGGCACCTCGGATAAGTCCTGGCTGTCCACAGATGGCGGGTAGGAGGGTCGGCTCCACCCAAGCAAGGTTCTTGCAGGTCGACGAGGGGCCAGCCCCAGGGCTCTCGGAAGCTCTATCCACTCCACACCCCACTTGGGGTCAGCAGCCACTACAGGGAGGACAGGGGCTGATCAGCCAGGACATCTCTCCTCCTAGTCTTCTTTTCCAGCTTTCCTAAATGCCTCCACATCAATCTTTCCACCTCACCTTTAGGAAGACAGCCAATAGACCTTGTCTCCTCTCGTCCCAAAAGAGAGCCCTGTGGAGGTCTGAGCACTGAAAGACCCTTTTTCCAGCCCCCTTTTGGCTTCCTCTCCCCGATGGAATGCCTCACCTCGCTATCACTCCCTCTACCCCCCACTGAAACCAAACCTTCTGACTCCCAAATCCATCCCCCTGTCAACTTCTCTGCTCACCCGTCCCAGATAAAAAGCCTACAAACATCGAAGTGCCTCCTTCCTGCCTGCCTGTCTGCCTGTCTGTCTGTCTGCCTGCCTGTCTGTCTGCCTGCCTGCCTGCCTGCCTGTCTGTCTGCCTGCCTGCCTGCCTGCCTGCCTGCCGTCTGTCTGTCTGCCTGCCTGCCTGCCTGCCTCTAGACCTCACAGCACATTGCCACTGCTGGCTCCTCTCCGGGTTTTTATGCCTGTTTTGCCACAGCTTCTTCCTCCTCCCCTCCCCATCTTCAGTCAGTTCCCAACAGCCAAGCCCATCCTACACAGGATGCCCAGCTCCCATCCCCAGTTTCGTGGTCTCGTGTCTACCCATTCTCTTCTGAGAAGCCCACCTTGCCGCCTCCTCCTCTTCCCGAGCACTGCCACAGAAACACTTGGTCCCCACAGTGATATTCCAGCCATGATGTTTCCGAGAGCCCAAATCCCCCGATTTAGGGACTTGCTTTCTAGTTCCCTTCCTGTTTGGTCTCTGGACCTGGACCAGTTTCCTCCCCAGTCAGAATCCCCACTCTGATTCACACAAAGAGGACTCCGGTCCTTCTGCAGGGAGGCAGGGGGCTCAGGACTGAGCTCTCTGGGGCTCGGGGAGCTAGGGGCTTAGGGGCATCCCCTGGACAGTGCCAACAGACAGGGCATATCCTAACTGACCTTTAGCCGGAGCAGCCGTCTCTGTCCCCGAGCCTCAGCCAGCTGGTGGTCCCCAGAAACGCTAACAACCAGAAGGAAGATACAAGGTTACTTTCCCCTTCTCTACTTGTCACCTCACCTCATCCGAGCTCACCAGGGTGACTCTGGGGCTGGCTCTCTCATCTGACTACGAGTTTGTCAGTGCGGGTGATGGAGGGATGGCTCCCTGGCCTCTCAGCCATGTCCCCCCTCATGGGAGTCACCTCAGCTGGGTCCAAGGGACCAGAGCACTCCAAGGTCAGTCAACAGTCTGTCCTAAGCATTTATTCAGAGCCTACAATGTGCTAAAGACCAGGGTACCAAAGGAGGCAAAAGTCTGCTGCCTCTCAAGTTAAATAGAGACCACCTCACTCAAGAGATCCCAGCTTCCGTCCTTCCATGCCAGAGGCCCGGCCCCGCCCCCCACCCACCCCCGTGAATGGCAAAGGCTCTGTGAGCCAGGGCCCACCAGAACTTTGAGTGCTAACAGCAGGAAGAGACAGCCAACGGACTAGACCGGGATGTCAGATATGGGAGAGACAATCCAATCCAAACCTGTCACTTTTGCAAGTGAGGAAACTGAGGCCGAGAGGGGAGGGACTTGACCAGTCGTCTCCCAGCTGTTGACAGATCTGGAACAAAAATTCATAGCTCCCTACTCTATGATGATGTCAACCCTATAAACACCCCAGGAACCAGCCTCGCTGTAGGTACCACGAGGCCCAGGAGTCCATACCTGCCTTGGGCTCACCCAGAGGGAGCCCGCTGACACAAAGTAGGTTAACAGACCTAAAATGTACTACAGGTCCCAGCATGCAACTCTGGCCCTAGCACGCAGTGGGACCCATGGGGAAGCTAAGGGCTTGCTCTTAGGATGGGGAGCAAGAGATGGGCTAGGGAGGGAAGCTGAACCCGCCTCCCTCTCTGGTTCTCCATTCTCCAGTGTGGCTTGGGGGTGGGGGTGGGGTACTAGACAGCTGTCAAAGCTCCATCCCACACACTCCTGGGGCAGTGACTCCAAGAGGTCTTCTGGTGGGAAGCGGCTGGCTGCTCAGAGGCAAAGTGGACAGGCGAGCCAGGAGCCTGGCAGAGAACACGGGGAAGGACGCTCTGAGGAAGGGGCAGAAGTAGCTGGGTGTCCGTATGGATGTGTGGGAAGGCAGAAGGGAACGGATGGAGTGCAGGGAGATAGATGTTGGGTGGGGTGAGAGGGCCGCGTCAAGGTAGGCAGGAGACCGGCCCATCACCATCCTAGGTGGAAAAACTGAGAGCCAAGGTGGGTCGGGAGAGGTCTGCGGCCATACCGTTCTGTGCTCCCACCTCCAGGCCAGGAAAACGAGCAGGTAAGAGCGCCGAAGCTAAGCCGCCCACCACCCTCAGCTCCCTCCCGCTCTAGCTCCTTCTTCCCTCCCCCTCCTCTCGGCGGGGACCAGGCTCCTCCCCTCCTCCCCGTGCCCAGGCTCTGGCCCCTTCCCCAGCTCCTTCCCTTCCTGCATCCTTCCAATCATTCATCCCTCCGTCCCTCGGCCCTTCCATCCTTCCGTCCCTCGGGCCCACCTGCCTGGGGACCCGCCGCGCTGCGCCGCGCTGCCCTAGGCTGGACCCCGCCGCGCTGCGCCGCCGAGACCCCGCTCCCCGCCCGCCGCCCCCTCTTACCCGCGGGGCTCCGGGAGCCGATGCAGCCCATGGCCAAGGAAGGCCCCGCGGAGGCTCAGCTGGGGCCGCGGGCCATCACCTTCCCGAGACCCGGGAGGGAGGGGAGCAGGCGGGGAAGGGAGGGGCCGGAGCAGCTAGTCCGCCGGCAGGAGGGGGGGAGGGAACGTCAGAACTGGGGGCGGGCTCCGTGACGCCACTGGGCCCGGGAGGGCGGGGAGCAGGGCTGACGTCACAGCTGGGGGAGGGGGACCCCCGGAGCCGGACGGGCCCCCGAGAGCCCGGCCAGGGACCTAGGTAGAGAGCGGCCGCCTGGCCGCAGATGCTCAGAACACAAGGAGGGACGTTAGGGTTGCCTTAGTCAACCTCCCGCAACCCACCCAAGGCCAAGCCAAAGCCGGCACCTGCCCGTGTTTGCTCGTCCCCTTCCGGCTCCCCCCGCCCCATCTCGCACTGGCAGGGGGACCTCCAGGCCCGGTGGGCAGAAGCATCTCTGCCAACCGCCGACCCATCAGGTCTGGGCTTCGCGAGGCTCCTGTGGGCCCACTACCATGGGCCACCGGGGAAAACGAGGCCTGAGCCAGCTCTCCAGCCCCGCCCTGGCTGACCACTGCCCAGGAAGGTTCTGGGGACACACAAGCCCCCCATGCAGAGGCCAGTGCCCAAGGCCCCCTCCAGGGAGAGCAGGGCAGAAAGCAGAGGCATGGAACGTAATTGAATTCATGTTTAATAATTACAGGCACCGTGCCCCCCCTTTCCCCTGCCCAGGCAGCAGCAGAGGAGGTGCAGGGGGGGCTGGGGCGGAACGCCCCCAGCAGCGAGGACGGCCGTCCCAAAAGTGATTTTCTTAAAATAAAAAAAAAGGACCCCAGGGGTAGGCGGTGGTACCCAACCCCCACACCAATTTTTATGACTTTATATATAATATATCTCTATGCCCCCGGGGGGAGGGGCACCTGGCATCGTCCGGGGGGGGGGAGGGGGCCCAGGCAGCCCCAAGCCATCCTGCCTCGTCAGCCACCACTTTATTAGCTCAGACACACACCGCGTTCCAGGCCCACGCCGCAGCCCCCCCTGCAGTCCGTGCGGCTGCTATCTGCGCAGTCCACTTGGGTGGCCCCTGGCCGGCCCCCCGCCCTCAGTTGTGGTCAGACTCGTCCTCGGCCTCCCGCAGCCACGTGAAGAAAGCGGTGACAGACTTGAGGGCTACGCCCTTCCCTTGCTGCTCGGCGGGGTCCTTGCTGCTCTCCCAGCTGTAGAAGGCCTCCTCTTTGATCACATCTTCATCATAGAGCGCATCGAAGAACATGCGTAGTAGGTCTGCAGGGAGCAAGGAAGGCAAGGCCTGCGAGGGGGGCAGGGCCCTGGCAAAGACCCCCGTGATGCAGGTACCAGGACAGGCCTCAGTCCTCATCCTCCTTTACAGATTTGGGGGGGGGGGCCGCAAACAGAGACTGGAAACCCTAGATTCACTAGAAACAGAAGGGGGAGAAGGACAGAGAGAGGGGAAAGAAGCTAGAGAGGGAAGGAAGGAGACAAGGGGAGGGAGAGAGAGAAGGAAGGTAGCAGAAGGGGGCGAAGGGGAGAGATTTGGCAGCAGAGAGGAACAGAGAGACAGAATGCTCACAGAATGAGTCCCAAACCAGAGGTCCCACTGGCAGCCCCAGCCCCAGCCCCTGCCCCTTACTGGCTGGCTGCTCCAGGGTGACCACAAGCGCCTGGAGGGCATAGAGCGCCTGCAGCTCCTTCTGTTCATCATTCACATACTTCTGGAGAAGCTTCGCTCGTGCCTTCAGCACGGCCACATCCAACCGCAAGGGGGACTCAACTGGAAAGGAAGACACTGAGTCAGCCAGGCCCATCTCCAGCCCTGAACCCCTCTCAAGGGTTGGCGTCCCTCTCCCAAGAGCCCCCCCAACCCTTACAAATGATGGCTGAATAGCAGACGGCAGTCATAAGCGCACGGACCAAGGTATTGGAAGCCACCTGCTGCTCGCTCAGGTTGGCCTGTGAAGAAGAAAGGATGCTGGTGAGCAAGGCCGCCTCCCCTCCAGCCAAGCTTCCCCCCTTGGCCTCGGAGAGCCTCTTCTCACCTCTAACCAGTCATAGATTCGTTGGTTGCTGGTGCTCTCCTGAAGCAGCTTCTTCAGCTGCTGGCTCAGCTCCTCGGGGGATAGCTCTCGCTGGCTGGGGGGCTCAGACTCCTCTCCCAGTGTGTACTCTACTTTCTGAGGCCAAGAGTTCAAGGGTCAGGTGATGGGGCACAGGCAGGAACCAAACAAGGTAAGGGTGAGGGACGAGGAACACAGCCAGCTTTGTAGCAGGGCCAGGACACCAGGCCACGTGAAGCCCCGCTCCCTACCTGCTCAATGACAAAGGTGTTGATGTCCTGGTCCTCAGGTAGGAATTCCTTCCAGCTGAGCCCAGCCTCTCGCCACAGCACCCCGACCTTTTTGTGACCCTGTAAAAAAGGCAAGATCCCTTCAGCAACCCTCAAGCTACTCTCCTGGAGGGCTGGGGCAGCCCAGCTGCACATCTTCCCTCCTGAAGGTCTCCCTGAACACCGGACCACAGTCTGGCAGCTGCTGGATTCAGACCAACACATCACACCACACACGAAGAGAAGTTCCAAATGGATACACGAACCAGATATCAGAAAACCAGAGAAGAAATTTACCTTTCAGATCTGTGGTCAAGGGAAGAATTCATAAAGAGGATTATGTAAGATAAAATGAGCAATTTTATCTAATGGGAAATTAAAACAAAGAAATGAATCTAATGAATTAAACAATTAGAAGGAAAATAGATAACTGGGAAAGTCTGCAACAAATTTCTCTGATAACAGGTCTCATCCACAACAGATACAAATGAGTAAAACTGATTTCCCAAATGATGTCTGGCCTTAAGCCAGGAAGAGGCATTTTTCTTGGGGGCTTTTTTTTGGGGGGGGGTTTAGGCAATTGGGGTTTAAGTGACTTGCCCAGGGTCACACAGCTAGTAAGTGTCAAGTGTTTGGTCTGAGGCCAGATCTGAACCTGGGTCCTCCTGACTTCAGGGCCAAGACCGGTGTTCTACCTACTGTGCCACTGAGCTGCCCCTTGGAATAGGCATTCTTCAAAGAAAAAATCCAAGCTATCAACCACATGAAAATCATTCTCTAAATCACTAATAATTTTTCAAATGCAAGTGAAAAAGCACTTATGATATTCAGACTGGCAAAGACCACAAAACAGGGAAATTTTAACAAAGAGGAGTTGTGAGAACAGAGGTACCCCTCTGTACTGGTGGGGGAGCTGGGAGTTGGTACAGCCGTTCTGGGAAGCAATCTGAAATCAGGCCCTCAACACCACAGGAAATGACCATGGTAATTAGTGTTTGACCAATGCAAAGATCCCAGCTTGGAGGCTAAGAATTAGGCCTCAGATAAAAACGGCTCGTAAACTGGAAAGTAGCTTGGCAAAAACTAGGTACAGACCAACATCTCTTGGATACCATATGTATGTACGTCTGTATGTATGTGTGTGTGTATATATATGGTCAAAGTGGGCATGTGATTTAAACATAAAGGGTGACAACATGAGCATAACAGGGAAGGATGGCATGGTTTACCTGTCAGATCTATGGAGAAGGGAAGAATTTAGGACCAAACGAGACAAAGCATTACAAAACATAAGATGGATAATTTTGATTACATTAAATTTAAAGGTTTTTGCACAAACAAAACCAAAGAAACTGGAGAAAAAAAATCTCACAGCCAGTGTCTCTGACAAAGGTCTCAGTTCTCAAATATATAATCAAGTCAAATTGTTAAGAATACAAGTCATTCTCCAATTGATAAATAGTCAAAGGAAAATGACAGGCAGTTTTCAGGAGAAATCAAAGCTATCTACAGTTACAAAAATGCTCTAAATCCCTATTGATCAGAGAAATACAAATTAAAACAACTGAGGTACCACTTCACACCTATCAGATTGGCTAATCTGACAACAGGAAAGTGATACACGTAGGAAGGGGATGTGGGAAAACTGGAACATTCACGCACTGTTGGTAGAGTTGTGAATTGATCCAACCATTGTGGACAGCAATTTGGAACTACGCCCAAAGGGCAACTAAATTGTGCACACCCTTTGACCCAGCAATGCCGCTAGGTCTGGACCCCAAAGAGATCAAAGAAAAAGGAAAAGGACCTATTTGTACAAAAATACTTATAGCAGCCCGTTTTGTGGGGGCAAAGAATTAGAAATGGAAGGGATGCCCAACAACTGGGGAATGGCTGAGCAAGTTGTGTCTAAGTATGATGGAATACTAAAAGAAATGAAAGAAGGGATGGTTTCAGAAAAACATGCGAAGACTTCTACGAATTGATGCAAAGTGAAGTGAGCAAGACCATGCTGGACACTCTAACAGCAATATTGTACAATGTTCAACTGTGAACAACAGCCCTTCTCAGCAATGCAATGATCCAAGACAATCCCAAAGGACTCACGATGAAAAGTGCTCTCCGCCTCTGGAGAAAGCGCTGATGGAAACTGAATGCAGATGCAAGCAGACTCTTTTTACTTTGTTTTTCTTGAGTTTTTGGAGCATACTTTCTTTTGGCTACGTGGCTGACATGGAAATGATCCACATGCTTGTGTATAAATTGTCTATAGCAAAGTAAGTGCTCACCTTCTCAAGTAAGGAGAGAATTTGGAACTCAAAATTTTGAAAAACAATTATTAAAAAATGTTCTTACATGTAATTGAGAAAAAAAGAAAATTTAAAAATGTACTGGCCCACCAAAAAAAAGAAATCAGGTCCACAAAGTTACTAAAATGTTCAGACCCAATGTCCCAACTACCCCACCAAAACACCACAGGATCCTGATGTACAAAAATCTTTGTGGCATCCCCCAAACTGGGAACTAAGGGGGTGTCCTCCTGTAGAGGAATGACCAAAGCAAGTGCAGCCTGTGAAGGTAATGGGGTCTTTACTGTGCTTTAAGAAATGAGGAGGGAGGGGCAGCTAGGTGGCGCAGTGGATAGAACACTGGCCCTGAAGCCAGAAGTACCTGAGTTCAAATCTGACCTCAGACATGTAACACTCACTAGCTGTGTGACTCTGGGCAAGTCACTTAACCACAACTGCCTCACTAAAAAAATTAAAAAAGGGAAA